TATGGATACCAGATTATTGATACACTACACACACACACACACATATATATATATTTATATCATCATGTGGAAAGGCATTTTTTTCTAAAGGTTCTGGTCTTTTATAGCTCGTTGTGGTCACTGTTCTAACTTAACCTAGAAAGGAAGAAAGAGTTCTTCCGAGTAATCTTCAACCTACTCACCTCCTGAACTTTTAAAGAGTTTTTACCAATATGACAGTCTAAACTACTTTTGACTAAAAAATAGTTTTGACTGTAACATATACAAAGACAGCTTGAGCTACTGTTTCTAGGCAATCCCATACAAAACTTAGGTCAAGTACAGTGGTTATAAACAACGATATCACACGTGCGAATCTTCAGACAGCAGACAGATAGATAAAATGACGAATTCGCTATGTAAATAGCCCTGACGTTTCCTAAAACTATTCATACATTAAATATTACTAACACGGTTATCAGTCTGCAGCATCATCTCTGACATACATTAAACAATATGGTTTCTTTCTTTACACGCGATGACGGACAGACAACAGATCAAACAAATTGTAAATATTTTTACGAAAATATCGACACTTTTATAGAAGTATTACACTTATATTTTTAAACTAGCATTGCCCGCGGCTCCGCCCGAGTTCAGATGACCAAAAACCAAATTCTTAGGTTTTACATATTAGTATATTCTTACATTGCAGTTTTTGTATTTTTTCTCAAAAATGAGATAATTTCTAATCTAGTCAATTTAGAGAAGAAGAGATGGCTAAAAATTGTTGTGTAAAATGTGGTAAATATTTTTGATGAGTGTCCCACTGCTGGGCACGGACATATCCTCAATGTAAGAGGAATCAGGTCATAGTACACTAAGTTGGCCAAAAAGTTTTCATTACAACATATACTCGTATACTGTGAAAATATTTGGTACATAATATGGCAACATTAACCAACATAAGTTACATTTAACAAGGCAATAAACTATAATTGCCATAGTATACAAACCTATTAAATTAATTAGAAGCTATTCATGACCACACGTTGGCGCCAATTGGTCATTCATAAATATTATTTATCTAATTCTATACCATAATATTATAAAGACGACATATTTGTTTGTTTGTAATCGATAAACTTTTTTTTTCACCATAGTAAATTTCCACTAGCCAAAAGCTAGGCTGTAAATTTATTTCAAACAGCTTGAAGTATCACCTTGGCGCGGTCGCTAGTTTATAAATAATTTACCTATTTATTTTCTAAAAAAACAAAAACAAATCTATCCCGCGGGTGGGTACGGTTCTCGTCCCGTTCCATTTTTCCAGGATAAAAAGTGTCTATGTGTTATTGTGATGTACGAGCTGTATTGACTACACGTTTGACTCTATTTGTAGTGACCCTACTTGCTGTGCCAGCGGTCGCGGGTTCGAGTCCCGCTGGGGGATTTGTGTGATAAGCACGAATGTTTGTACTCCAGTCATAGGTGGCTTTATTATAATATGTATTTATTTAAAGTTATATATGTGTAATGTATCAAATACCTGGTATCCATAACAAGTCCGTAGCTTACCAGTTACCATGGAACTAGATGGTGCTGAGTGTTAATGTCCCATCATATTTATTTATTTAACTAGCATTGCCCGCGGTTAAGCCCGTGATCAGATGACCAAAAACAAAATTCTTAGATTTCACAAATTAGTATACTCTTACAATGCATTTTTGTATTTTTTCTCAGGAATGAAATCTTTTTCCGCGGTAAAAAGTATCCTATATGTTGACCCGGATAACCAGCTATCACCATACCAAATTTCATCAAAATCCCTCCAGTGGATTTTCTGTGATGCGGTAACAGACAGACAGACAAAAATTCTAAAGGCTATAGATTCGGCCTCTGTATCGCTAATAATGTTTAAGTATTTCAATTAGATTTTCCAAAAAATATTTAATGTACAGATTCGGCTTCGTTGCAATTTTATTATAATAATGTATAGATTACTATATCTAGTAAGATAGAATTTAAATAGATAGGTATACGGAAAGCATTATTATGCATTTCCCAACGTTTATGGCATGGGAAATATCTTAATTCAACATATTTGAATACAATTTAGTACGTTCACCATTCAACGATCATAACCCAATTTTAAGGGGACGTCTGCACGAACGTCTGGTCATTTGCCAAAAATATACGCATATATTTTTGTGTACAGCGAGTGCGTCATCCATCAGTCATTGTGGACAAAATGGCGCCTATGCAATACTTTATTTTTTTTAAAGTAATGCTAACTGACCAGTAGCCTTGCGGAAAAGTATTGCCAGGAGCAAAAATAAGTTTAACAACTAGTTTTTTTAATAAGTATGTATAACCTATTTGGCGTAAAGTTGCTGATGATTTAATTTTCGAACTATCATCATACATATTTCACGAAATGAAAAATATAAGTATATAAGGCCTTGCTGTAAACCATTCAAAACGTCGAAAACTAAAAATTAAAATAAAGTATAAACTTCCGAAAACGCAGTTTTATTAAAAAAAAAATCAAATATTCACGTAAATATAGACAAGTTTTAAGTATAAAAAAATTCTTTAAAATTACAGACTACACACGAATCTACAGATTAACGCAATCTCTGGAATTATCAGACCAATTTTGCATTTATAGCCTGTACATGTATGTATATCAAAGGAGATTAGGCTATCTAATATCATACTGTCACTGTAAAATGTAGAGCAATTATCATCCACACTAATATTATAAATGCGAAGTAACTGTCTGTCTGTTACTTTTTCACGCTTTTTTTAACCGCTGAACCGATTTAGATGAAATTTGGTTAGAAGATAGTTTGAGACCCAGGGAAGGACATACGGTACTTTTTATCCCGGAAATCATCCCTTAAGGGGGTGAAAATGGCGATAAAAGTTTGTATTGGGAAGCAAGCTACGGACGAACCGCCCGAACGAAGCGAGAGTGAGCGCGCCGCCGCGAATAAGCGACACGAGTGCTGCCGCGGGATAAGTTATAATAATATAAGAGTATAATAATATTAGAATGTAAATATATAATAAGGGTGTGAAGTAGAGCGTGGTGCATTAAAATAACCAAGCATCTAAAATGCACGGCCGCCGCTTTGAAAAGGCATGAGTCATATTATATCTAGTGATAAGATTTATTTACTCCCGCAATACATCGCGATTTGGTCAATAATATCTATATCTACAAATCCATATTTTTACGTAATACATGCGGTTTTATTCTATAAATATAAACGTGATAGTTTGTGAGAATGTATGGATGTATGTATGTTTGATACTCTAACGCAAAAACTACTTACTGAACTGATTTTGATGAAATTTTACAGTAATATAGTTATCAAAATATGTATTATTCAAATAGACTTTTTTTACAAGCACTTGGACTGTCACTATTACATTTTCAAAATTTAAATTAAATGTCTGTATTATATAAGTCCGTGAGGAACCTACCACCGGCTCGGAAGGCAGAGTATATATAGAGCATAGTAACGCTTAGGCTATAATTTATGAAGGTATAGTCTATATATAAATATTATAGATGTGAAAGTTTGTGAGTATGTATGGATATTTGTTACACAATCACGCCAGAACGGCTGAACGGATCTGGATGAAATTTGGCATAGAGATAGATTATAGTCTGGAATAATACATAGGCTAAAAAGTAGCCCATGTGCTATTCTGATGTATGAGCTATATTATTGTGAAGTTTCATTAAAATCCATTGAGCAGTTTTTGCGTGAAAGAGTAAGAAACATTCATACATACATCCTTACAATATGTTGCATTTATAATATTACTAGGATGCCTATAAATTTCTACAATGTAGGTTTTTCCCCAAGAAAATTTGACGCTCGCGGTGACGCAACGTAGATTAGTTTACCTGCTGCTATCTACTACTCTAAAAGTTACAGGTTCGAATCTCGTAGGCATCAAAATCTTTTATAAATAAAAAAAATTACCTATGAGTTTTTAAAAGTTTTGAGTGATCAAACAGGCATACACCTCCAGGTAAATTTCTAAGAAATTAATTGAAATTCTAAGAAATCTATTGTTAACTGTAACGCCGGCGTGTCCGCGGTCGTGGAGGGATTAAATACTCATCACTCATCCTCGCTCCGCTCGGGTTCGTCCCTAGTCATGAGATATTTTCCCGCAGTAAAAAGTCTCCTATATGTTGACCCGGATAACCAGCTATCATCATACGAAATTTCATCAAAATCTATCCAGTGGTTTTTTTGTGATGCGTTCCCAGACAGACAGACAAAAATTCTAAAAACTATACATTCGGCCTCTGTATCGATAATAATGACTATTTTAATGAGAATATCCCAAAAAATATTTAATGTACAGATACGACTCAGTTACAATTTTATCAAATATGTAGTATATATGAATGTACCTAACATCTAAGTTCTAATATATAGGAAACAGGACTTTTTTAATTATTAAAATAAAAATAAGTGAAGATCTTTACCATTGAAAATTGGGGTAAATAAAAAGAATAATCAATTTTTTTATCTGTGGGTATTGTGGGATAATTTTGAATTCCCAATTTGAAGAAACCGTAAGACCATTAACGACCCACGTGATCAAAATATGAGTAAAGTAGGAATCATTTCGACCTCGTTGAAATATAAAAATTGGCGCCAGATTTCTAACAATATGTTAATTTATAAAAAAAAATGTGTTGTAAATTATAATAAATATTGTGTAGGTATATTATTATTCATTAATGGAAAATGTTTATGAGTTTCACACAGTAACTATACTTGTAATTTGTAAAAGTTGTTTCGGAATTACACTACATTTCTGTACAAAGTTATAAGCGTAACATTTTCGTTAAAATTACTTTTTCATAAACATAAATTCGTTTTGCAATAAATGTAATAAAATTTAACATCATGATTCATTCATTTAATCAAATAAACTAATTAACTTAAATATACACAAGTCTATAGAAACGAACAGTCAAAACTCACCGCTGTTCACGCGAGATGACGTCATTCCCATTCAAATAGTAGTTCTGCTCGTACCACGACCCGTTACCACTTTTAGCACAAAAATACAGCTTTTCTGATCCCCCAACTTGAATTTCAACATCTTTACCAATTGGATTTATATGTCGGAGAGACGTACACACGCCCGGCACAGAGGTTAATGACCACAGATCGTATTCGCCGTCGATACGTAAATTGTAGACACATTTACTCTCATCACACGAGTATTTATTCACATTAATTGAAAACCATGGCGATGCAATGGATATTGTAAGGTATAATAGTAAAATTATACCACTAGTCCGTAACACACACACAGGAGCCATGTCAAGCGCAACTGTTTGGTTTATGAAAGCGCCGCTCGCGACTCCGAGAGGCGCTCACTTATCATTTAAATAATGTTGCCATATCAATGGTTTTGTTTTGCCCATTTATGAAAAAAAAAAATATTCCATTTTTATTAATGTACTTTATTTGTTTGGTTTGGACAAATTAAATTTTGGTTTGAATTCTTTTGGATGCTATTATTTTATATAAATAAATAATTTTCATGATGATTTTATCTTTCCACTCGTTTTATATGTATGTAGTTTCGAGACTGGTTATTGGTACTCTTCAGAGGCTACTAAATCAATAGATTAGTGATAGGTAATCTGCAATAGCTAGACTACTATAGTATTATATTATGATCTGTGCTACTATTAAAACCTTCAAGTTTAGACTCGTTGGTTTGTTTTGCTAAACAAAAATCTAAATTGTGTTAATTAGTTTTATGAAACTTAAATTGTTAGTAAATCTATATACTATAATAAAACAGTAGACGTCGACTGTCTGTACATAGCAAAAAAATGCTAAAAACCAAGTTAGGGGGTTGTAAGAAGACAAATAGAACAAATCCAGATTTTTTTCAATTTTTTTGTTTCTCTGTCTGTTTGTCTATTTGTACGAATCTCCGAATCTATTGGACCGATTTAAATGAAATTTTGCGTGGTGGTATCTTATATCCCCGGGCAACATCTTAGATACTTTTATCCCGGAAAATTAAACAGTTCCCGTGGGATAGTTAAAAAACTATAGTAACTTATACAGCTTAGTACACAACAACTTATGCACCTAATTTAGTAAAATTTAACATTCTGATACTTTATATTGCATGTCTAACAACAGGTTACTTTTCATCCCGGAAAAATGAATGGTTCCCGTGGGAACTAATAGATCTCTATTAGTGTCTAGAGGCGAACCCGGGCGAAGCGAGGGTGAGCCGCTAGTATGTTAAATAAATTACATTAAATAAAATCAAAGAAAACATATTTTCAAATTGTATTTAGTTAATTTTTAAAAGTCTCTTAAGAGTAGGTAAAATTGAATAGCAGCAACACTGAACTAATTACCATAGGGATGCACTTTTACATTTTATCGATTATCGATTAATTTAAATAAATAAAATAAAAATTTAAACAGGTATAGTCAGTCATATGTAAGTTACTATAATTTTACGTTACGTAAACATTATTTATCATATTTGCGATATGCTCAAGACAAGGACAAGGAGATAAGATTTAAATGATAAACTTTATCATTTTAATAGTTAAGGGGATTATATAATTCAAAATACAGATTATTTTAGATGTTATCGTAATTAAAAGCTTCACATTACGACACAGATTTTCGACAATTTTAAGTTTGAGGATGAATCATGGATTTAAGACATAAAAATATTTATTGTACCAAAACAAATATTAATTTGTTAAAAATTTAATCAAGGTTGTAATATGTTAAATTCTGTATTTCATTTAAGTGCAATAAATAATAATGATAATTACAACCACTTCCATTATACTAAATAATCATATTATCTTTCATAGATGCAATGTCAAATTAGATAGGAATTAGTAATTAATTACATTTAAGGATTTAGATTTTTATATTAATTAGTCGGTACAACTGTCTTTAGCTAGACGAGTAATTTATAGATTACATTAAAAAAACGTCATTAATTATCAAATTGATGAACGTTGAATGATTAAATTAGGTATGTATAAGACATATTAGGTGTACATAAGACGTAAACGTAATTTAGTGAAAATAAAATCTTATATTTTGTTATCTACGTGAATAAGTATACTGTTCAATTATAGACACTAATAAGATAATTATTTAATCCGTAGGGATGCCATTAAATCTATGTATTTCATTCGTCTATTTTTAACTCATTTATTAAAAATAAATCAAAAAAATTGATTAAAAAAAACAGAAACGCAGATGTTCTTCTTTTTTGGCATTCGCAGGAGCGGAAGAATTGAAATTTACATGTCCACATATTGGTATTTTTTTTATTATTGTTTGTGTGCACCAATAGAACTTTTTCCAAAAACTCGGCGTAGTAGGTATTATATCATAAATTGATAAAACTCGTTTGAACTCGTTTGTACATATTTTTTGATTTCCATCTTTTTAGTTTTGATCAGTTTAACATTTTTAATTTTATTTAACAATTTCTTACCGACTTTAAAAGGAGAACGTTCTCAATTCGACTGTATTTATTTTTTATATTTGTTTCCTCAGAACTCCGTCATTTATAAACTTTAAAAAATTTGGACAATTTTTATTTTATTTGAAAGTGTAAACTGCACTTTGGTTCCAGTTAAATTTGAAAAAAAAATACCAACCCTAAGAGTGGAAAACGAGCTCATGACAATTTGCAGCAAGTCCTTCTATTTCCGTTGATAGTGCAGTGGTTTGGTATCGTCGAGCTGATCTGATGATAAGGCCAGAAGGTGGATAGGTGGAACTCTTAAATACAAATAAGAATAGTAAATATTTTGAATTTGGGCTTATTTTGTTTGATTTGACAAGCCCAATGGTCAATACGTTAGAATTAGATTTTAGGGCAAGCAGAAGAAGCCCCTGAATTTTTCATGTCTTAAATTTTATATTTAATATGCTAAAATAGTTTTTATTGATAAAGTGTCCGAAGTAGGCGTGGCTTGCGCAAGCCAGAGCAATCGTTTTCGACCGTATTTTCATCCGTCTAGGAAAATTATAAATATTGGTTCTACAGTTCCGAGAGTCGATACTTTCTAGGAAATTTCCTCGTCTCTATGAATTTTATTTTAAATTGAAACATCTCAATTAGTTTTTGAGATATTTGCAAAAAACTAAACAAACGGGGTTTAGTTTTTTGCTAATATCTTTATATATATAAATAAATATCTTTTAGTTATTTTTATATATATATATATATATATAATTTATATATATATATATATATATATAAATATCTTCTAGTTAATTGTTTATAACTTATGCAACTTTTGCAAGTGGAACTTGATTTTTTCAGAAATCATCTACATGCCATTCCGAATCGAATGACACCACGCTGCTGAAAAAAGATGACCAAAAACGCACTTGTTGACTAGACTATTAAGCGAATATTTTATTAAAATACTTTCTTCTTAATTTGCTACCACTCTCTATACTGAAAAGGGAAAATAAACTTAAAAAATAGTCGGTGCCAGCCGATACAAATCAAAGCATACCGACTTCGTAAATATCTGATTAGGTATTTATAGTAAATGATAACTACTAATCAGGTATTTTTTTTATTTTAGTGTTTTTTTTTAAAGTCAGTTTTTTTAAGTTTTTAAATATATTAAAATTTTAATTTTTAATGTATGTAACCTATAACACGGTAATGTTAATGTAACATTACCGTGCCTATGACACTCGCGTTTACCCTCGGTTAAGCCATTTAGTAACTACGAGGGAACATAGGGTCAGACATACATATAGGTCAAACACATAACTCTCCTTTAAGCTTCACCGTATTCGGGTAAAAAACCATATTATTCGTTTTTCAAGTTTAATTGCTTTTCTTTCCTATGCCCATGTGGTTTTATTTTATATTTTTTAAACAGAAAGAGAGCATTATTAAATAAAACTATCTTTTCGGATTATTTCGCGGATTTATTTTGATTTTTGGTTCCCGACGTTTCGAATGCTTTACAGCATCCATGGTCACGGGAGAGACTCTCTCTCTCTCTCTCTCTCTCAGTCTTATTTAATAATGTTCAGTTTTATTTAATAATGTCAAACATTCGCGTAAATCTAAGAAAGTATTAAGAAAGAGAGCATTATTGAAAGGTATGTACGTGACTGCCTATTACATGGATAATTTTTTTTTCATTTTTTTAATTTAAATTCCTAGATCTATAGGCCTGGGAAGTCGGTCTGTATTATTTTTAATACACAACGATGGCCTTATGTTAATCTTATCAAGTACGATATAAATAATTGTCAATCTGATGTTGATATGAACGACATATTTTTAGACAAAATCAGATTTTACGATAATTTTGATTTGAAAAGAATATGTGAAAAACAAATGATGCTATGAAATCTTTTCCAATGAGCTTTAGAAATATCGAAAATGCTCAAAACATGCAGTGATGGTGTCGGTTTAGTTAGAAATTAAAAGTGCATTATTAAATTCGAGCAAATATTTTGTCTATTCAAATATAAATATATTGTTTTTGAAAAAAAAAGATCATCACTAGACCAATATATCTCCATGACTCGATCATTCCTTTACAAAAGTCACATTTTGTTAAGTATTGATGATTTAATAGCTCCTAACTTTTAATTACAATAAATGATCCCACATTTGTATAGCAGCACGCAAAACGAGGGGGCTCGAACTTACACAATGGTTCGATTAAGCGATTGAAAATTACACAGCTATATTATTTTATTTACCCCTTTTTCAATAAAAATGTCTCTTTGAAATAAACCGCTCTCGATTAAATTACGATTAAATAAATATGCAAAATTAAAAAAGGGTATATTTCAATTCTGTAGGAATCCCAAACATAAATGTTGAAATAAATTTGATTAATGTTGACTTGATAATACTTTGTTTTATAAATCACCTTAACTAATAAATAATTAAGTATTATGGAATGAATTGGCATATACGCCACATTAACATCATAAATACGGAGGTTTGAGGACGAGTATAAATACCTATTACTTTTTACGCTGATTGATTTGACTCAATAGATTTGGGTGGAATTCGAAATGGAGGATTGGAATTATTTATTCATTTAACTGCGAGTGGATTTTTCATTTTTATGCTTAATAGCTATTGACAAGCTTTAGTATTATCAATAAAAAAAAATTAGAAACACAGTAATTAGTTTTTTATATACCTAATATATGGATAGGAAATTATTCAAATATACTCGTATTTTCTCCAAATTTTAAATAATGATTATAGTCGACTACTACAGTAGTAGTATGTATATAAATAATCGCTGGTGACAGACAG